GGCCCCTGTGCTGCTGCGGGGAGCCAGCAGGCGCTCACCACACCGGAGCTCTGGGCGCCGTGGCGTCAACCGGCCAAGGAAATGGAACGGAGCTCGTCCACTGCGCTCAGCTCAGAGCACCTGGAAACACGCTCCTGAGCTATGGCCTGGGGACCTCTGATGGACAAGGAGGAACGGGGTCTGACGGGGGAGCCCCGGCCTCCTCGCAGGGCCTGGCCATCCCCTGCTACAGACGGCGAAACAACGGACGCTGGAAACCCGAACTCCATGGGGAAGAGAAGGAAAGGGCAAAGTGACGGACCTTCCCCCTCAGGATCTCTCTCTATAACCTGATTCTGTTTTTTGAGAAACGTAAGAGCCCCCTGAATCTCCCCACTTCTGAGCCTGCGATGCCAACACCCCTGACAAGTCACTGCCAGGCGCTGTCCTAAGCTCTTCAAACGTAGGATCTACTGCAGGCGCACAGAACCCTACGGAGAGAGACTAACAACATCTCCATCCGGCGGGACAGGAAACAAAGCTCAAGGACCCTGGCCGGCAAGGGGCGGGGCCAGGAGAGGGCCCAGGAGCTTCCTAATTCTTAACTGCTATCCTCCACTGCTCCCAGACATTCCTACTAGTGGGTGTGATTTTTCTTCCAAATGATATTTAAGTTCTCCCTAAAAATTCTGATCCAACCTTCCTGTGATTCCATCTTCTCAGAAGTCTCTAATTAGGAGCCATGAACTTTCCTTAACAAAATCAGCTGCAGAAGGCCTAGCAGCACATTTGTCTGGACACTCGATGTCCTGTCCATGTTTATGTCAAGGGTTTTTTGGAAAAAAAAAAAAATACCATCAAAAAGTTAAGAGAAAATTTAGATGTTCTCGAAAACCCACGCATCTGCTGTTTTGACTTGAGAAAGACAGTCCTACAAAGGACAAGTCACCCAAACCCACATCTCAGTATTACCCTTCTGGAACTGCGGTGCTCTGCGAACCAAACCTTCGGGAAGCGGACCCCAGGGAAGCTGAGGGAACAAGAAACAGCGATCGTCACCAGTAAGAAATGCCACCGCTCTTCGGAAGGCAAAACACACAAGTACTGCTTCTGCGGGCGCCCGTGTTAGGGCGGCGGCTCCCAACGTTCCTGCGGGAAGACCAGGGTCAGCAGCGCTGGAACAGCAGCGCCCACAGTTAGGGCTCGCGCGTGCCGGGATGTGTTCATCACACCACGGGAAAGCGCCGAAAACCAGAACCGCTCACCCACTGATCTGTTCCTTGACCGCCACATACCTGGTGGGTTCAGATCCAGCTCTGTTCCCCCCGAGACAGCCTGTGGAGCCCACCTCCTGAACGGAGCTGGTTTCTGTGGCCAATGGCATGCGGCAGAAGGAAAGGCATGGCATTTTTTTTTTTTTAAGATTTTATTTATTTATTTGACAGAGATATAGAGAAAGGGCACAAATAGGCAGAGCAGCAGGCAGGGGGAGAGGGAGAGGAAGAAGCAGGCTCTCCATGGACCAGGGAGCCCGATGTGGGGCTCCATCCCAAGACCCTGAGATCATGGCCTGAGCTGAAGGCAGGTGCTTAACTGACTGAGCCACCCAGGCGCACCAAGGGCACGGCATTTCTGAGATTAAATTCTAAGACTGGAACGGAGGCCTCCTGCCCACGGCCAAAGTATGAGCTTGGAAACAGAAAGTCCAGCCCCAGCTGACGAGAGTTCCAGAACCATCCAGCTAAGTGGCCCCCGGACTCCTGACCATTGGAAATGGTGCGCACGACAAACGCTGGTCATCTCAAGCTGCTAAGTTTTGGGGCAACTCCTGTTCTGCAGCGACAGACGACTAATATGCCAAGGGACAAAGGCAACCATGGTCTACCCAGCGAAGGGCCCAGAATGCAGAGCTTAGGAGAAGCAGAGGACGGCAACTCAGGAACTGTCGACCGTTTATTTATTCATTCGTCGGGAGATGTCCTGTTCCTGAAGTTTCCTTCGTGGGGGCTCCTGGCTGGCTCACATGGTAGAGCATGTGGCCCTTGATCTCAGCGTTGTTTTGAGCCCCATGCTGGGCATGGAGCCAACTTAAATAAAAAAAATAAAAGTTTTGGGCTGCCTGGGTGGCTCAGTGAGTTAAGCCTCTGCCTTCAGCTCAGGTCATGATCTTAGGGTCCTGGGATCGAGTCCCGCATCGGGCTCTCTGCTAGGCAGGGAGCCTGCTTCCTGCTTCCTATCTCTCTCTCGCTCTGCTTGCCTCTCTGCCTACTTGTGATCTCTGTCAAATAAATAAAATCTTAAAAAAAAAAAAAGTTTCATCTGTATCTATCTGAGTTTTTGTTATGAACGCATGTTGACTTTTGTCAACTATTTCTTGCATCTACTGATGCATTTTTTTTATATTGAGCTGTGATTTACATTTCCTGAAATTCACCTTTCTATAATTACCTGTTAGCAAATGTTCCCAATTATTGGTGTCTTGGGCTGGTTTCTCCTCTACTACCTCGCCGTGCCTGGGGTTTAGACCTTCGGCTTTATCTCTTCTTTTTCTATGACCATTCCTCTGCTGTCTGCACCCAGAGGAATGACTTTAAATATCCCGTCTACACTGGCGACTCCCAGGTTTACACCCGCAGCCTGGATTTGACGATCCACTTGTGTATTTGCTATCACCACTCGCAACTCTAGCAGGCATCTCAAAATCTATGAAGGCTCCAGATCCTCCCCACCCCCCATGCCTGCTTCTTCACCCCACCTCACACCACGGCATCTTCATCTCTCCAGTGTGCAGGCCAGAAATCTCACTCTTCACCCTTTCCTCTCGCACACCCTCAGAGCTATCAGCAAATCCTCCTGGCTCTCTCTTCAAGAGATCCAGGCTCTGCCCACCTACATCCTCCAAGCCACCACCACCTCTTGGCTGAGTTGTTACTAACGCCCTGTTTTCCCCATTACCTCCTTTCTCTGCAGCCGCTAAAGTGATCCTGTGAAAACTTAGGTCAGATCCTGTCACTATTTTGCTGAAACTCTCCAAGAGCTTTCTGTCTAATTCAGAGAAAAGGCCAAAGCCCTTACAGTGGCCTACAGGGCGTGGGCAGCATGATCCGCCCCACCCCCCAGCCCATCTCTCATGCCCTACCTCTTGTTCATTCTGCATCTGCCACTCCAGCTTCCTGGCCATTCCCATAACGTGCCAGGCACGCGCCTGCCTTGAAGCCTGGGTGCCTTGACTGCTGTTCCTCTGGCCCCCCTTCCCCATTTTCTCTTTGTGTCCATTCAAACAGCATCTCAGTAGAGAGGCCTTCCCTGACTGTCCTATTTAAAACTGACCCCCTCTCTCCCACTTCACCCTTTATTTTTCTGTATAAGACTTAATGGCTTCTAACACACTATGTAACTTATTTTTAGACACTGCCTGTCTCGCCACACCCCCCTCCCCCACCAAAATGCCAGTTCCATTAAAGCAGGGCTTATTCATGCTTATTTATGCTTATTACTCCTGTATTCCACCCCTCCCCCACCCCTGCTTGACCCAGAAAAGGTGCTCAATAAATGGTGGGTGAATGAAGGAAGCCCACTCTGCTGAGTCAGCACATGAAGCCCTGGTCGGAATATGCTCTGACGCGGGACTCCGTGCCTCTCCTGGGGGCTGCCCCACCGCGGAAGGCTCAGCTGCAAAGTTTCTGCACCTGATCTGCTTCCCTGTAACTCTGAGCTACCGTCCTGCCTTAGCCCTGGACCCCAGAAGGAACAAATGTGCTCCTTTCTCTCCCAGGGGGGTCGTCCTTTAGCTCTCTAAGGACTGTGGTGTGTCTTCCATCCTGTTTGCGCTCTCAATCTTCAAGGTCCCATCTGCCTGTCACTTCGGTCATCTCTGTACTCCACGTTATTTGTGTTTCCGAAAGTGGGGTTCTGGAATCGAGCACAGCATTCCAGAGGTGGTTTTAAGTTGGCAGGCTACAGTAACTTCCACTGCTTTTGTGAAAACATCCCTCCCTACTTAAACCCAAGTTTCACTAATGGAAAACGTCAAGCACACAAAAGTAAAGAAAACAGAATCGTCAGCCTAGAGCCCTCCAGCAGCTGACTCACCAGTTATCAACACTCACAACCGATATTTTTGATTCACACTGCCTCTGGCCCAACTTGGCAATTATTTTTAAGTAAATCACAGGTATATTGCTAAATCAGTAAAGACGCCAGCATACTTCTGTAAAAAGTAAACATCCTTACTAAACACTACACACAACGGAGGCACTGTTATCACATCTAAAAAAGAGAACAATTCTTTAATATCAAACATACATTTGGACCTGGTTTTAAAACACAATTAAACACTTCTAGACACAAATATGCACGCCAATCATTTCAAGCAAAAATACACTGTTTTTGACGAACGTAACTTTTCTGAAGTTCATAAAAACAAGGCTGCTGCTTTTGACGAAGGGGTTAAGATTCGGCAAGGACGTTCACCACCGGTTTCCAGAGGAGGCCACCGGAGGGTCCACAGAGCGGCTCGAGGCCGGGGCCACGGTACCGCACAGCTCGCAGCCGGACAGACCCGTCTGAATCACGGATCACTCTCGTCCCACCGCCCAGCCGTGTGACCGCGGGCAAGTCACCTAAGCTGTCCGAACCGAGCCTCAGTCTGCACCCCCGGCAACACAGGCACTGAAGCGAGCTGGAGAGCTGACGTCAGCAGCGAAGCCGCTAACTTAAGGAACCAGGATCCGAACCCGGGTTTCCCCAGCTGCAAAGCGAGTACTATACTCGCGCACCAAAGAAAGGGGTCAACACCGAAGGCATCCGGGCGGACACGAACCCGCACGCCCCGTTCCCTCTTCTCACCCCGCCGCCAGGGTCTCACCTGCTCCGGGCCCTGACCCTCTCAGGACGCTGCGGCTGCACGCGGACACCAGCCGCCCGAAGGAGAACCTCACGGCCCGCATTGCTACGGCCGCCGCCATCTTCCCGCAACTTCGGCCGGAAGCGGAAACGGCCTCGGCTGGAACCTTGTGCGTCGACGCACAGGGTCCGGCCCGGGAACTCCGCCCCGCGCGGCAGCCGGACCTCAGTTCCCCCGGGCCCCGGCCGGGCGGCGGCCATGGCCTCGGCGGCTGTGGAGAGCTTCGTGACTAAGCAGTTGGACCTGCTGGAGCTCGAGAGAGACGCGGAGGTCGAGGAGCGCAGGTACGGGGTCGGTCGGCAGTTCCCCAGCGCGGCCGGCCTCGGGCAGAGACTTTCCCTCCCGCCCTGAGTCCCGCCCGCGGCGCTGGGGGGTTCGGCCGCCGCTGGAGCTGGGACTGTCGCCTCCCGGGCGGCCCGTCCCGTTTCGGGGCCCTTGAGAAGCCTTTTCTTTTCGGCCCGGAGCCCCCCACTCCCGACCTTTCCGTCCTAGGTCTTAGCTGCCCTCAGCGCGTCCTCAACCCTTTTTCCTCCTCCGGTGCGGGCCGGTGGGAGGGCGCGAGGATGCGGCCGCCTGGGCCTGGGCGGGGCGGGGGTGGGGGAGGGGTTGGGCCTGGCAAGGGTCCTGGGCAGGGGTGGGTCTGGCCGTGGGCAGAGGGGTGGGCCGGGATCTGGGCCTGGTCAGGGGACCTGGGCCAGGGGGTGGGCTCGGGTCCTTGTGGACGGTGCCTGCCAAGCCGGCGTGCTCCCTCCGAGAGTGTCGCGCGGACAGGGCAGCGCGAGCGCGCAGGCGCGGGGAAAGACCAGCCCCCGGGCAGGGTGAGGCTGAGGCTAAGGCTGGCTTCAGGGACAGGTGGTTCCAGGCTCACAGAAGAATGGGTGCGGTGGGTGGAGGGGGAGGCTTCCTGGAGGAGGTGCAGGGACCTGGGCTCCGGAGAGAGCTCGGCTTGCTTCTGAAGGTGAATACTCATTTAGCTGAAATAGTGCGGCGGGCGCTTACCGAGTGCCGCGCATGCTCCGGGAACCCGCAGTGTTGTTCTGCTTTTGTGCGGAGGAGCCTTGCCCGGGGTGGCAGGTGGAGTCGGGGTTGGAGGGGAGGCAGTCTGATTCTGGGCCTGGCAGCGAGTCGCTGCGCTGCAGACGTGCAGGCGTTTGTGCGAGAGGCTTTGGGTCCGAAGGTTCCCAGCTTTTGCGGTGGTAACGACCTACGAACCGCAGCTCCACGTATGGCTGTGGGATGGCTGTGGGACCTCGCAGGGTACATCCCTGAGCCGCAGCCACCTCGCCTGCGAAGTGGGACTGTTCCCACCTCGCAGGCTTGCTGTGAGCGCAGGACGGGCCGCGGTCAGGCACTCCGCAGTGAGCGCCGGCGGAGAGGTGGCCGCGCTCAGGTGGAGCAGGGCCTCGTGGGCGAGCGTGTCGCATTCCGTGCCCGCGGATGGCTCTCTGGGGTGGGGGGGGATTGACCTTAAAAATAAAGCAGCCGTTTGTTTTACCAGCAAGGTGGGCTTATCCGTCACAGCAGAGAACTGCCCCTCCAGGGAGGGAGCTGTGGCCCGCGCTCGGGGCTGGCGTAGCAGGTGACGGAGAGGACCTTCATTTCACCGAGAAGGAGGGCGTGGGAGGGGTCTCTTTGAACGGAAGCCCCTTACGGAAAGGCAGGAGCTCACGTGGGTGGCTTGCCCGCTGACTGAGTTGCAGGGTGGCGGGTTTCTTGTAGGGGGTGCGGTGTGCGCCTCTCCCTGTTGCGTGGTGGAGGGTTCTGTCGGGTCAGGGTCCGTAACTGATGGACGGTGCTGCTCCTTCTGCTCTCCCCCTCCACTTTGGTGAGGTTTCCCTCTGTTAACTCCCAAAGGGGAGCAGATAGATTTGTATTTCAGGTGGATCGCGTGGGCGCTGCTGCCTGTGACTGGTCGGGGCAAGCCCCCGAGGTCAGCCAGTTTGGAGGCAGGAGGCTCTGTCTGGTCCAGACGATGAGGGGTGTGGCTTGCAGCAGGGGTGTGGTGGTGAGGATGAGAGGCAGAGTGGATGCCTGCGGGTACAGATGGCAGGCAGTGGGGGGCACCGATGGGCTTAGTGACACGGGGGAAGTGGGGTGCAGAGTGCGGGTAGAGCAGGTGAAGAGACCAGCTGGACCAGCAGGACGAGATGGGGAGGGGCAGGATGCCAGGGACAGATACGCAGCCCGTTTGGGTTTTATTTAGAGCCTGGGCACAGATCTTTGTCTGTTTTCCTCTTCCTTGTACATTCATCCCGGGTGGGTGGAAGTAAAAGCTGGAGGAGTGTAAATACTGAACCCTCAGTGTTGGGTGTCTTCCAGGTCTTGGCAGGAAAACATCTCCCCGAAAGAACTCCAGAGCCGAGGCGTGTGTTTGCTGAGGCTGCAGGTGTCCAGCCAGCGGACGGGGCTCTACGGGCGGCTGCTGGTCACCTTGGAGCCCAGGAGATGTGTGGCGGCCGCGGTGCTTCCCAGCAACAGCTTTACATCAGGTCTGTGCGTTTGCGGCCGAGGCACGTGCTGCACCCGCTGGCCTCCGGGCCGTGCCTGGTACTCCATGAAGCCCGGGTCGCACGGGGCTGGTGCAAGAGTTAACGCGTGGCAACGAAGAACCCTAGAGAAGTGCACCTCTTACGTGGCTTCTCGGTGGTCTAGGTCAGCGTGTCCGGGATGGCAGTTGCGAGCCACAGGTGGTTTGGGGCGCCCGGACTGCGGGCGTGAGAGCCGTGTGTGCAGTGCTCGTGGGATGTTGAAGCCTGAGTACAGAAAAATTCAGACTATCTCCAGAGTCGTTTCTGATACGTGTTGAAATAGTATCTGTCATGTGTTGCGTTAAAATATGTTGTTATTAAAATCAATTTATTTGTGTCTTTAAGAAAAAATTTTTTAAAATATTTTATTTATTGGATAGAGCATGAGCAGGGGCAAAGGGTAGAGGGAGAAGCAGGCCCCCCGCAGAGCAGGGAGCCCAACACGGCTGATCCCAGGACCCTGAGATCATGCTGAAGGCAGATGCTTCACTGGCTGAGCCACACAGGCGCCCCTTAAATTTCTTTATCGCGGCTCCTAGAAAGTGCAGAATTCCATGCGACTGCCGTCACATTTGTCTCGGACCGCCATGGTGCCGTGTGCAGTTCTGTCTTCCCCGGCTTCCTGAGCCCAGCACGCCCGGGGGCCCCTCGTGCCAGCCCTGCTGGAGAGGAGCAGCAGCGGCGAGGAGCTGCTGAACCCACACCAGGGGTGCCTGGTGTCGCCCTCAGACCTGGAGACAGCAGCCTTGCCACCGCTGTACTTGGCTCTAGAAAACTGTCCATCTTGTTTTGGTGGCGACGGGGGTTTCTCATTTCCTGTTCTGATTTCCCAAACTCTTGCGCGAAGTTGTAGGAGTACCCGCTAGATTCGGAGACAGAGGGGATGGAGGGGGCCGCTGGTTGGAGTCCGGTCTTCCACGTTCTTGTTAAGTGAGCTAGAGCTCATTGCTCTCTGCGTTGGTAGGTGGGTCTGGGGGTGACATGGTGGCCCCTTTCCGATTCGCCGTCAGGGTCGAATGTCCGTGGTGGGGGGCGGTCGTACACTCTGCAGTCAAGAGTGGACACACGTTCAGTAGTGGATGCAGCAGCCCGCACTGTGCACTGGGACCACAGAGACTGCTGAGGGTTCAGATACGGGAAGCCGAGGAAGTGGCATTTCTGTGTCACTGCAACTGTTGATCAGATCGAGGTAGGTTGTCACCTTTTCATCCTCTGAAGAGTGGTTTGCAGGCTCGGCCTAGAAACATGGACCCCTTGCAGGGCGCTGGTGGGGAGGTCCCAGCAGGCGTGGGGTCTCTGTGCTCAGCCCCGTAGTGGGGCCTGCTCACAGAACCAGACCCTGTGCCAGGGGCACTGCTGCTGCCTGCTGCTTGTCTCTATAACGTTGGGGAAGGAGCCCGAGAGAGGTTCAAGGTGCAGATGAAACTCATTGCCTGGCGGAAAACAGCCTCGGCTAGGAGCACGTCTGGTGGTGCCTGGTTGACCCATGGTGTCCGCTTTCTGACGCGGAAGAAGGGGAATGAGTTGGGGGTGGAAATCTGTGAGTAGCTCTGGCTTTATCTGAGTGGAGTCTGTTTTGGTCAGAACTGTCTTCTGTTCCAGGTGATGGAACGGCCAGCCAGGGCGCCTGGGTGGCTCAGTCCATGAAGCGTCTGCCTTCGGCTCAGGTCATGATCTGAGAGTCCTGGGATCGAGCCCCGCATCGGGCCCCCTGCTTAGCGGGCAGCCTGCTTCTCCCTCCACCAGCCACTCCTCCTGCTTGTGCTCCTTCTCTTTCTCTGACAGATAAATAAATAAAAATCTTAAAAAAATTTTTTTTAAAAGCCAAGCCAAATGGACTTGGGGAAGAAGGATTGCATTGGTTGCGATACTTGAAAGTTGACTTCAGGGCTCACGGGAGGTTGCTTGGACTCAATTTCTCTCCATTTCTTGGATTTGCCCTCTTCTGGGTTGGCTTCTGTCTCAGGCGACACATGGTAGCCCTTCTCGCCCCGGCATGCCCTCAGGTTCCTGACCCGGCTGGACAGACGGAGGGCCTCTTCCCAGGTGCCAGCACAAGCCTCGCTGCATCTCGGGCACGTTTGGTCCCGTGCTCATCCCCGAACAGTCGCTGTGGCCGGGGATGTGGGACGCGGGGACCGGCTCAGGTGTCGGTTGCGTGTTCCTTCCCTGGTGTCAGGCTCACCTGGCCGATGAGTGAATCACGCAGCAGTTACCGTGGGAAGTGGGGAGATCCGTGCTGAGTGGGCAGCACGTGACCTCCCTCCCTCCTTCACTCATTCCCATTCTGCTTGGAACGTTCCTCCCTCGACGTGCTTGCGGCCCCCACTTTGTTCAGGGCCCTCCTGCTCACCTGTCACCACTCAGAGGGGCCCTTGCCATACCCTGTTTCTAAAATGATGTCCTTGTCTCTCTCCCCATCGCCTCCTGGGCTTCGTCTTTCCTTAAAACCTCTGGTGCGGACGTCTGTGTCCTGTTCCCAATCAGACCCGTGCCTAGAGCGGTGTGTGGCACAGAGCGAGCAGGCCCTTGAAGTGTTCTATTGACTGGTGTGTTTGTCTTAAATAGTTCATTGATCTCAAGTTGGTTTTCATGTTTAACTGAGTTATTGGTTAAAAGACTTTTACCGCTACTGATTTCATTTCTAAAGAAAGCAGTAGAGATGGGATATTTGAAATATGTTGGAATTTATTACATCAGATAATCCACGGCTTAAGTCTGCTCAGTGTTTGTGTAACGTGAATCTGTGTTTCTGCAGGCGATATAGTGGGTCTGTACGACGAAGGGAGTCAGCTGGCCACGGGGATCCTGACCCGGATCACGCAGAGATCGGTCACGGTTGCCTTTGACGAGTCCCATGACTTCCGGCTGAGCTTGGACAGGGAGCAGACCTACAGACTGTTAAAACTGGCCAATGATGTCACTTACAAGCGACTGAAAAAGTAAGGGTGTGTGTGTGACTGAGAATCCCATGTTCCTTTTCCTCAAGCATCGCTCACCCTGACCGCTAGTCCTGGACACAAGAGAGCTGTTGCGCTGAGTGTGGAGTCACTGGGGGCCGCTTGTGGGAGACGGCGGCTGCGGTGGCTGTGCTGGGCAGGGGCTTGGGCAGGGAATCTATGTCTGGTTTTTGCCAAGCTCCTAATTCTAGTTTTCTCCCTTGGCAGGGCTCTGATCACACTAAAGAAGTACCACTCTGGCCCCGCGTGCTCACTCATAGACGTTCTCTTTGGCGGCTCCGCCCCCAGTCCTGCCAGTGAGATCCGTAAGAACCTCTGTGTTTTCTTTTCTGCTCAGAGTCACTGTGGAAGCTCTGAGAACAGCAGGGCCTCGGGTGTTGGAGCGAGAGTTGGAGGACGCGTGGTTAGACGGCATCTGTCTTTGTGTCTTCTATAAATCTGAGTGACTCACGTGGACTAGACTCTCATACTCGGTGCAAAGAAGCAGCTCATTCTGTTGACTTTACAACGTCCTCTCGAATGAATCTATGTTCTTTTAGGATGTAAGGATGTTCTAGCTCAGTGGTCTGTGGAAATAGGATGGCTGAGCACAGTCTGTGCTTAATAGTGTTTTTGTGTTTGTTTGAGAAGTTCAGATTCTAAAGGCATTTGGTTGTTTCTCGGTGTCCTTCAAATTGAAGGTCGTTCCTTTCTGATGAGAAGAGTATTGTGATAGGTGTTAATTATGGAATATTTGGAAATAAAGACCTGTGTTAACGAGGGAGACAGAAGCCTTGCGAACCTGCCATCTGGAGTTAACCTCCCTATGTTTGTGTGTAGTCTGGTCTTTTCCACATGGAACAGCGGGTCTTTCTCATACAGACACGTGGGCACACACGTGCTCGCACGCACCCCTTCCTGGTTGGTGCGCTTTCTCCCAGCCCTCTGTGGTCTTGAAGAACTCCAGTTTCGAGGGGGGCATGTTGTTTCAAGTGGCCGCCGTGACTTGCCAGTCCTCCATATTCTGACTTTGCCACTTTCCCAGCACAGCCTCAGTGGAGCCTTCAGGCTCTCCTGCTGCCTGGGGGGATGGGGCCGTCCTGTGCCCACGCAATGTCGTGCCTGTGCCAACCACGCAGGGTCACGTTGGCTTTGAACACAGGGCTGCTGGGTGCTCCCTGTCCAGATTCTGAAGGCACGCACGTTTCAGTGTTTTATTCTGTCAGATATTTATCGAGAGGCTACTGTGCAGTGGAAGCTGAATTAGAAATTTATACACCGTGTTTTAGGGAGCACGGTACGTTGTGGTTAGGCGGGCGTCTAAGGAAAAGGGAAGCAGTGCAGAGTGGGACACGCTGGGACTTTGGGTCAGGTCTGCTGCTGCTTTTCAGCTTTGTGTGTCCGTCTGGCCGGCCTGGACGAGGGCGCTGTGCCCAGGAGTTCTCACTCACGGGTCCAGTGTCTCCACGTACAGGGGCCCTGCAACGCTGGACACGCAGTAGCTACTCTCAGAGCATCAAGCACAGGAGGCAGATAACTGGTCTTCATCGTGGAAGATTCAGTGGAGAAACATGATTCCGAAATTTGCTCCTAACTCTTTTTTGTCATTTTATGGGCATTTAAAAAGGAACAACGTGGTAGAAATAAATGACTTATTTTAATTTTTGTTTATTTTTCATTTTCTTTTTATGTTTTGAGAGAGTGAGCTGGAGTGGGTGCACGTGGAGGGAGGGGCAGAGAGGAGAGAGAATCCTAAGCAGGCTCCCTGCTGAACACGGAGCCTCACGTGGGGCTCATCTGTCTCCTGACCTTGAGATCATGACCTGAACCGAAATCACGAGTCCGATGCTTAAATGAGCCACCCAGGCGCCCCTGGTAGAAATAGGTTCCAAGAAACATTTACTTCAGGAAGGTCTGTTATCGTGGAGCTTGAGTTGGCAAACTTTTCAAATAAAGGGATGGATTGTACATATTTTCGGCTTTGTGGGCGCTGTGGCAGCCAGAGACCGCAGGCCAGTGAACGGGCGTGGCTGGGCCCCTGAAAACTGCACTCACAGAGGCAGGTGGCCGGCTGCATTGGGCCTGTGGTCCGTGGTCTGCCACTTCCTGTCCTGGGAGACACCCTTGGGAGACCAGGCAGGTTGCTCCTGTGTCGCCTGGCTGGCTCCCGGGGAGGTTCCGAGCCCCGCGGGCGGCTCTTCCTTCCACCAGCTCCGTCTGCCAGGAAGAGTCGCCAGCCGCGCCGAGCCAGAGCCTCACACTGTCCTCTCCCGCAGAGCCGCTGCCGTTCTGTAACCCTTGCCTGGATGCCTCCCAGAAGGAAGCCGTCTCCTTCGCGCTGTCCCAGAAGGAGCTTGCCATCATCCATGGGCCTCCTGGCACCGGGAAGACCACCACCGTGGTCGAGATCATTCTTCAGGCTGTGAGGCAGGGCTTAAAGGTGGGCCCCGTGAACACGCGTGAGCTCCTGTGCCGGGCTCGCGGGTGCGCGGCTGGGTCCCAGCCTGGTCAGGACCGCGCTTGCCCGTGTGCTGTGCGCCGTTGTCCGACCTTCCGAGGCGAGTGTTGTGTGTCACTGTTCACGTACGTTTTTGTTGGTGGGGGAAGGGTCTTTTCTCCTCGCGCGTCAGCGGGAGTCATCATGGATTCTGAGCACGTGCGAAACTTTTAGAAAAACTTTCTTGTTTATGGGTGTCAGATCACGGTAAGAATTAGAATAACGTCAACATCTTACTGGATGTATTTTACGAAGCAGTTCCCCTTCTGAGTGCCGTCAGGTAATCCTCACAGAAACCCCGGGTGCTGGGGACTGCCGGTGCCCCCCGTTTCCGGAGGACCCAGAGCTCAGGGCACATGCCCCAGTCCCGAGCCGCGGGTGGCAAGGCCAGGGTGTGCGCTCAGGGCGATGCTCTCCAGGGCCCTGGCTCCGAGCCCCATGTTCCTCTGCAGGCAGAAGCACTGCTGCTTCTGGGTGAAGGGGGGTCTGGCGCTGGGTCACGAAGCTGTCCAATAGTTTCGTCCGAGTGAGTGACTTGGTGGAGGCATTTGAAAACTTGAGGAAGTGATGACTCGCTGGTAGGAAGCGGGTCTGGAGGTGTGGTCGGACGGCCTCTGTTTGCACAGGCGGACAGAACACGCCCTGTTCCCGCGCAGGCCCTGCGGGGGGGGACGGCCACGGCCGCCTGCTTCTGAGACTCGTGTGTGTGGGGCCGCCCCTCCCCGCTGCCCCTGCTGGCTGTCACCTGCTTCTCACAGTGGCACTTGAGGCTTTTCTCTCCTGATTGAAATCTCTGCAGAAAATAGCTTTAGGAGCAAGACTGAGCCCACCAGAGAGATTCTCCCTCGTCCCACTTTGTCAGAAGATGAGGCGGTTTCACTGGTGATGCGCTGTCGCCAGACCCGGGCACTTCAGGGCCTGCTTTCACCTTCGAGGCCTTTCTTCCCTGGTCGCAGATGATTTAAGCTTCTGGTGCTCGCTGACTAGTTCTGCAAACCCACGTTCCAGCTCCTGTAGAGTCTGTGGTGGTCCGGGTCCTCTAGGCCGCGCCCGCCCTTCCCGCCAGCCACGTGTTCGCGTTCTGACCACTTGTGCACACTCCGGCCTCCTCTCTGCCTTCAAGACTGTCTCTTTGTTTTCTCGCGAGCTTAAGTGGTTAAGTCGAGCTGTGCTCCCCCAGGTTCTGTGCTGTGCTCCCTCCAACGTCGCCGTGGACAACCTGGTGGAGCGTCTGGCCCGCAGCAAGCAGAGGATCGTGCGCCTTGGGCACCCTGCCCGCCTGCTGGACTCTATTCAGCAGCATTCCCTCGACGCGGTGTTAGCGCGGAGTGACAGCGCCCAGATTGTCGCAGACATCAGGAGGGACATCGATCAGGCCTTCGTACGTGCCTCCTCCCTGCCACCGCTCTGCGTGGGTTCTGACCCGCAGACTTTCCTAGGAGTCACTTCTGTCTGTGTTCCTCTCGCTTTTTTTGGTCTCTGTCAATTTTTTTAAGGATTTCAAATGTCAGGGAGGCTCAGTCCATTAAGTGTCTGGCTCTTGATCAGCTCAGGTTTTGGTCTCAGGGTCATGGGTTCAAGCCCCGTGTTGGGGTTCGCACTGGGCCTGGAGTCTACTTCAAAAAAAAAAAAAAGAATCTCAGACTTCAGGACTGCTCATTAAAAAAAAAGTTTCCCCCCAGTTTTATTAAGAAATAAAGGACTGGCCGCTTTTGATAGAAACTTGTACTCAGCATGTAATAGGGACTCAACTGTTTTCTGAGTAGTTTTGTGAGAAGGTGAGGGGTCGTCTTCAGGAAGAGGTCTCTCTAAGCATCCCCTGGGTCAGGCCATGGCTGGGTAATGTCAGCAAGAAAACCCCCAGGAGCCTGAAAGTGAAAATTCAGAAACTCATCTTCCCAGTTTTTGGTCCATTTTACACCCTCCCTGTGGGACAGATGCAGCAGTGACAGGTTCCTTGGAGACATATTTTATCTTGCAGTCCAGTACTCAGGAGCTCGCTGGTTCTCTGAGTCTCACGCCCCCTCCGTGTGCTCGCCGTCAGCTGGTCTCACGGCCTCACGGTGGTGCCAGAGTGCCGGGGTGGCGCTCCAGATGCCCCTGTGGGCCCAGCAGAGGTGGGGACAGGATGAGGCGTGTCACGTGAGGGTCGAGGGGTTAGCGGTACGCACGGATGGTGTTGCCTCCGCCACAGTGTGGAGGACTCTGCCTCTTGTCCCCGTTGACCTGGGTCTTCTCCGCGAGGGAGGGAGACGCAGGAAGATCCTTCTGACCGACCTGGCCACACCCTGTGCTCCACAGAGGAAATCACACGTAGGAAGGGTGTCCTATTTAGTATTACAGAAAGTCGAGGCTTAGGTAAGCATTTTATAGGCTGAAGATTTATTGTTCTCTTGGCAAGTGTGGAATTCCTGCTGAAGGGTGGCCTCACCGGGAAGCAGCGGGAAGCCAGATCCGGACGGCAGGGGCCCTTCTTGTGCAGAGCCTGTGTGGGGCCTGCGCGCGGGAGCGTGGGGCCCGGTTCCTGGTTTCATCTGAGTTACAGCTCAAAACGCCGTGCGGGTCGAGGGCCTGGACTCCGCCGCTCTGCCTGTCCCTGTGCAGGTGACACTGGCTGGAGGACCACACGGGGTGTCAGGCACTTGCTCACCTGTGTGGGTCTGTTGCTCCTTCAAGACAGGTTTTGGACATTTTAGTGCCTTTCGAGAAACTATGAAGTGCGCCGGCTGGTCGTGAACGCGATCGCTTCGTGAGCGTGGAGGAGCTAAGTAGGTGCACTCGGTGCACATCTGTGTGTGTTCGTGGTTTTCCTTAGCAGGCGAAGAGCAGGCGGACCCAGGAGAAGAGAGACAAGAGCAGCGCTTGCAGTGAGATCAAGCTGTTGAGGAAGGAGCTGAAGGAGAGGGAGGAGGCCGCGATGCTGGAGAGCCTCAGGTCGGCGGCGGTGGTGCTGGCGACAAACACAGGTAAGGGGGGGCGGGTCCGGGCCGGCTGTGACCCCGAGGGGCTGGGACGTGCCCTCCTGCTTCCTGGGGCAGGCTGGAGTGGTGTAGAGTTGTCCGGACAGGGTGGGTCGGGTCCGCCGGTGAGTTGTCCTGGTGAGGAGGTTTTGGTAGTGATACAGGAACAGGTGTCCTCTTCCTGAGCAAGCTGCTGTCTTCGAGGAATTTGTTCGTAATCTCACCGATCGAATGTGCAGGTCTGAAGCTGTCCGTGTCATCTCCCAGTTGTAAGAACATCTGTGAGGTCTGTAACGACGTCACTGGTTTGGAAATCGGGGCCCCTCCTCCCCGGGGCTTGCTGTGCTCCGTGTTGAGTGACTTTGCAGCGCTGACCCTGAAAGGCCTGTGTCCTCCCACGAGGCCACTGAAGCTGCCAGCTTGGGCAGGAAGGACTGTGCAGAGTCCCTCCTCCAGAAGCAGCACGTGTGCTGGGCTTGGCCAAGGGGCTCAGTGTGCATGTTGGGGTGCACTTTTTACAGCCCTTAGGCCTCACTTTCTGTTGGTGCAGAGCCAGGGGTGAGCCAGCTGGGAGCACTGGGGGCCTCCTCGTGTCTTGCATGTGCGCACGCATAGCCCGATGCGTGTGTGTGGCCCTCCGGGTTCCCCAGGGACAGGCTGGAGCTTTTCTCGCACCCCGACTCTTCCTTGGGAGCTTTCTGGTTACCTCTTGCTCTCTCCAGCTGTTCCGCTTTGCCTCGGAGAGGGATGGTTTTGGGCAACTGCCCGGAGGAAGGGCTGTCTGCATCAGGGCAGCTCCAAGTTGGGGGAAATAAAGACAGTCCTGGAGTGGGATCACCCGGGGAGCCGGCAGACGGCCCCAGCTGTGGCGTTTCTCAGGGAATGGGACTTCAAGGGAGTTCATGCGGCTTTTCCCCATGATCGCTGGCCCTTGGCTTCAAGGCTCCCACAGAAGTCGGGGCACAGGCAAGGCTTTTCCCGTAGGAACACTGCAGAGCTCGCTGTTCTGGCCCAGACTGAGCCACGGCTTTTTTTTTTTTTTTTTTTTTTAAGATTTTACTTATTTGAGAGTGAGAGAGTGCAGAGAGAGGGAGAAGCAGACTCCCTTGCTGAGTGGAGAGCCTGATGTGGGACTCAGTCCCAGGACCCTGAGATCATGACCTGAGCTGAAGGCAGAGGCTTAACTGACTCAGCCACTCAGGCGCCCCGAGAGCCGCGTCTTCTAAAACAAACACTCCCTGGGTTGCTCCAAGCCGCTAGCTTCTCTGTAGAGTTCTGAGAAGGTGGATTCCGGCAATGCTGCCAATGTTCTCGTTTTCGTGGGGGGAGAGGGTTTCCAGAGGTCCTTCTCCACTGGACCAGATCTTTAAATATGGTGCTTCCTGAAAACCACAGCGCAGCCTTCCCCCTGCCAACGCGGCAAGGTCAGCTTGTGGCCTCTTAAGTTCTCCCGTCCTGTTGGGAGGGGAGCTAGACTGGCTCTCTTGGACGTGCCTCTCTTTGCACCGTGAAGTCATGTCCGTACGTTGACCCCACCAAGTTCTGCCTCTTCCAGCAGCTTCTCCAGCCATCCCTGCAAACCCCGTCCTGCGGGGTTCATCGAGACACGCGTCTGAGTCTCAGAGTCGTTGTTGAAGCCGCCCAGCTTGCAGCAGGCACCTTGTGTCCTTTGTGTCAGCGCCTGTGTGCCGTGTTAGGATTTGGTCATCGTAACGGGACTGTGCGGTTCAGGTGGTGCCCGCATTTGTAGATGAGGAACAGGCTCAGGCGGGTGGCCTGCCTGGGCCCCCTGCTGGTTATGAGGCTTGCGTGGGGTCCGGGTCTTGCTCACACGTGAGCTCTTGCCAGGGCAGGGTTGTTCCAAGGAGGAGCTGGGGCTGTTGTCAAGTACAAGGCAGCGGGGGTGGGGGGTGTCCTCCCTTCCCTGCCGGGCTGATGCTCGGTTAATTGTTCTGTGTGTCCAAGAGGACATCTTACGGGGGAATTAACTAAGGTTTAGATTTAGAAAATGGTATCGAAATAACACCTAGAAATCAGATGCCCTTCCAAGGCTTTGGTCCCAGCCCCAGGGGTGATGGATTCTGATGCTTGGAATGTTGGGGTGGCCCTTCCTGGGGGTGCACTGGCCCACACTGAAACACAGGTGGGCTGGAACAGATGTTCTTGATGTTCTTCCCAGATGTTTACTCTAAGACGCACACCTCTTACACACTCTGAATGCCGGACTGGGTTCTGAACCAGCCGGCCTGTGGTGTCTCTTTCAGTGAGGTCATGGCGGTGGGACGCAGCCAGCACCTTCAGTGGAGGCTCACGGTTCCGATTTCCCCAGGTGCCTCTTCTGACGGCCCTCTGAGGCTGCTGCCCGACGGCCACTTTGACGTGGTGGTCATCGACGAGTGCGCGCAGGCCCTGGAAGCCAGCTGCTGGATCCCGCTGCTGAAGGCCAGGAGGTGCGTCCTGGCCGGCGATCACAAGCAGCTGCCCCCCACCACCGTCTCTCACAAGTAAGGGCCCTGCCCGCGGAGCCCTCGTCCGCCCCACACGCCCCCCCTTGCTGCAGCCTGGGGTGTGGTGACCAAGAAGCCCTGACGTGCCCTCCACTGTGGTCTCCTGCCCGTTGTACTGTGCGCGCCACCGTAGGTGTCAGTGGGTCAGGCTGTGTGTGCCCGAGCTCGGGGTTTGTAGTCATCACGTGCGTCTCCGTAGTCGTGGCTCCTGGCACCGTCCGGGCCAGTTGAATGGAGTTCCCCCGGCATGGCCAGCCGGTCGGGTAGGGTCTGAGAGATGGTTCTGTGGGCCGGCCAACTGGCCTCTGGGTTGGTCCGCCGCCCCAGAGGGCCGGTCCGCCCTGGCCTGGCATGGAGTCTTCAAGTCCTGTCGGCACATCCTACGACCTAGGCCACAGGGAGCGATTCCGTAGGCTCCAGTCCCATGTGCTGTAGACAGTGGCAGTCCCTGGCGTGAGTGAGCTCAGCCGCCCCCAGCCCCTCCTCACCTCATTCCTGCCGCTCCCCTCACCCACTGCTCTGGCCACACTGGTCTCTGCCCTTGCTCTCTCCATCCGGACGGCTCCTTCCCGGACATGGGGTGGCTGTGCCCTCCTCCGTTCAGTAGTCTCTCAGGTGAGCCCCCCGGGGCGCCCCGTGACCACCCTGTCTCAGCGCCTCTCAGTGTCCTGAGCACTCCTGGCTCCCTCGCGGTGGTGCGAGTCGGTCTGTGGGTTCCTGGCCATCCCAGCCAGGATGTAAGTCACAGAGCAGGGACGCCCCCTCCCGCGCTGGCGGGATGCGTGCCGGCCAGTCCTGCGCTGTGGTTGGGACTGGCAGCCGCCTCGCCTATGTCTTTGGCGCGACTTGTGTTCAGCAGGCGTTCGTGTGGGAAGAGGGTGACCGTGAGGTCTTACGAGCCCACGGAGCGAGCCCCTGAAGCACGGGGAGCTCTTGCGCGGGTTTAGCCTCCCCGGCTCGGAGGGAGCTGGTGCGCCTTCGTGGAGGAGAGACGCTCCTGGCTCTGCAGCCCCCTGGCGGGGCGGCCTTGGGCTGGTCCCTCGAGCTCTCTGTGTCTTGCTCCCCTCCTGGGGCAGTGGGGAGCCAGACAGGAACTACCTCCTGAGGTTTTGTGGGGCTCGGGTGAGTCAGTGGGGGGAGTGTTCCCGGGAGGCGCGGAGGGAGTGCGGTTGCCACGAGCTCGGCCTGCTGTGGGGCTGCTGAGGCTGGCGCGTGCTGCCACTTTAGAGTCCGTCTGCAGCGGCTTGCTGTTGCTGCCGTAACGGACCACCAGCGTAAGCAAGGTGGATTGTCTCCGGCTCTGGACGTCGGCAGTCCAAACTCTGCGTCCGTGGGTCACAGGGTGGTGGCAGGAAGCTCCAGGGGAGGGTTCATTTTGGTCACGTCTTCTGCTCTGAGCCTGACCCTCCTGCCTTTCTCTTAGAAGGAGCCCATGATTCCACTGGGCCCAGCTTTACGTCAGGTCACATGGTCGCAGGTCCTGGCGTGAGGCCACGGGCATCGCTGGGGTGACCACACCCTTAATTTTCAGTCCTAACGTGGCGGGGGTTGGGTTCTGAGGCTCTAGCACTGCCTTCCTCCCTGGCCTTTGGTTTCAGGCTGGACACGGGCACTCAGGCCTCTCTCCCCTGTTGCTGTCTTGGCGCAGGGCCGCGCTGGCGGGGCTGTCGCGGAGCCTGATGGAGCGGCTGGCGGACGAGCTCGGCGCACAGGTGGTGCGGACGCTCACGGTGCAGTACCGCATGCACCAAGCCATCATGCGCTGGGCCTCGGACGCCCTCTACAGCGGGCAGCTCACCGCCCACCCTGCCGTGGCGGGGCACCTCCTGCGGTGAGTGGCCTGGTTCTGCCCACCTGGCTTGACTTGTTTCTCCCAGGGCCCCGTGAGCTGCGTTCAGAGAGATTTTAGAGTCAAAGTTACCTCTGAGGCTGATCTTCAGGAGGGGAGAGGGGGCTCGCCCTGGAGAGCTGGCGTGGGGTGCTTGGTCTCTGACGCTGTTCACGCCGCTCCTGTTCCCTGTGAAGCAACCCTGTTCTGCTGTGGGAAGAACCCGGGCCCGGGGGGTGACGGGAGACGTGAGTTCTGTGGTCAGGACCTCGGCCCCGCTTCACCGCCCTGGCCTCACATGCTCAGTCTCCCGCTGTGTGCAGGGACCTCCCAGGGGTGACTGCCACGGAGGAGACGAGCGTCCCCCTGCTGCTCGTGGACACGGCCGGCTGCGGGCTCTTTGAGCTGGAAGAAGAGGACGACCAGTCTAAAGGGAACCCCGGTGAGCTTGCTCGGACGGGGCCAGCTTTCTGGCTGACACGGACCCTGAAGTCCTCTTTGCAGAAACCACAGTGTCTGCAGCTGCCCACCTCAGAGGAGCTGAGTGGGGCGGGAGGAAAGGGGTGGTGGGAGCCCGTCCCCGATGAGCTGGGGGCTTCGAAGCAGACAGCCCTCGCAGCGCCCTTCTCGGCTGTCAGCATGAGTTCGGGGGAGCAGTAGGCCTGGGAGCTCTGCCTCCTCAGGCTTGGGCGAGACCCTTGCTCACCCTAGTACCAGCCTGCCGGGTTGCACGCTCAGTGTTGCTGGGTAAACTGAGGCTCAGCTACATGGCCTGCATCCTCGTAGGCCGGACCTGTGACCCTGTGGCTCAGGGCGTTACCCCAGGCGCGGTGTAAGAGCTGTCAAAGTGGGCGGCAGGCTGAAGGAATGGGCACGGGTGACGGGACAGCATGGGGTGACCTGGGCCAACAGCCCGCTTGCCGCCCCCCAGGGGAAGTACGCCTCGCCAGTCTGCACATCCAGGCCCTGGTGGACGCTGGTGTCCAAGCGAGTGACATCGCCGTCATCACGCCGTACAACCTCCAGGTGCGAGGGGCTGCTTTGTCTGTGTGTCGGTGGGCACAGTCGACCCCAAGTGCCCGAGGACGGGTCATGTAGCATCTGTGGCTGTAAACTCCAGGTGGAATCAACTGCCTCACGACTGCGTCTGGGGCTCATGTGACATCGGCGAGCATCTCTGTCTGCCCACCCCGCCTTGTTCTTGCTCTGCCCCTCCCCAACTTCCCTGGTTGGCTTTGTTTTCTGGCCACCTCCCCGGTGGCCCTGGCTGCCTTGGGCATCCTTACAGGGCAACCCTGGGACCACCAGTCCTTCTCCTCCCACAGGCTCTCTCAGCTTAGAATCTTACGAGGCTGGCTCCAGCCCCTGTCCCTGAGCTGGTTGCTGTGGCCAGAGCAGGATCCTTGCCGTCTCTGGGTCAGTGGGAGCACCTACCAGCTCCTTTCTTTTTTTTAAAAGATTTTATTTATTTATTTGACAGAGATCACAAGCAGGCAGAGAGGCAGGCAGAGAGAGAGGGGGAAGTAGGCTCCCCGCTGAGCAGAGAGCCCGATGCGGGGCTGGATCCGAGGACCCTGGGATCATGACCTGAGCTGAAGGCAGAGGCTTTAACCCACTGAGCCACCCAGGCGCCCCTCCCAGCTCCTTTCTTTCTCAGGGTCTCTCACGTTTTCTCTCTTGGTACCTGTGTGCTTATCAGCGAAGCCTGTCTGTCTGGGTGGAAAAATGCAGCTGCAGCAAAATACCGTGAGGTCTGTGGCTCGGTCGCCACCCCTTCCTGGGTCACAGGCACCACCCACCGGGGCATCTGAGGCCGGTGGCTCTGTGGGGCCAATGTCGTGCTGGGGTGCGGGGCCCCATCTGTCCTGTCCGTGTGCTGCTATGTGAGTTCGCTGAGCTGTGAGACAGCGGCAGGGACTGCGCTGCAGTGGGACGCCCTCTGCTGAGTGTCGAGGCCGCCCGGGCCTGAGCTGAGCTGAGGACATGGCTTCCTTGTGTTCCAGGTGGACCTGCTCAGGCAGAGCCTTGCCCATAGGTACCCCGAGCTTGAAATTAAGTCTGTCGATGGCTTCCAAGGCCGAGAGAAGGAAGCTGTGGTCCTGTCCTTCGTCAGATCCAATAGGAAAGGTATGTGGGGCTCAGCAGAGTCCCTTTGGGTGGCACAAAGGGCAGACTGGGGTTCCGCTGGGTGCTGTGCTGGGCCCCAGCGAGAGAGCAGGCAGGGAGTGAGGGCAGTGGGGCCCCATCCGGAGCCCGCTGGGGGCCAGGACCGCAGGAGGTGGGCATGGTCCCTGGGGTGCTATGGGAGTGGGGCTTGGTGCTCCCGGCAGAGGGAGCAGAGCATGAGGTCAAGCAGCGTGGGATGCGGGTGCGCTCTCGGGGACCGCCTGGACGCCGTGCCTGGGACAGGGAGGCCCCTGCAACACAGAGCTCGGTTTTTGGCCTCAGGGCGCCGTTAGCCTCAGGGCCCAGCTTCTGTGCCGCTGCAGTTTGCGGCTCTTCCGTTCGGTGTTGCACCCAGAAACGGCTTGTCTGGGCTTTGTAAGGCACCGTTGGCGGAGAGCCGAGGACAGCGGAGAGAGTGGGGGCGGCTGGGGGAATTAAGGTCCTGGAGCACAGCTCGTGCTGTCCCTGCTGCTGGCTGCAGTCACCCCTGCAGCTGGGCTGAGGGAGGAGGTTGTACTTGGAGACAAACAGTGGTTTGGTATCTGCCACGCCCAGACCTCGTGCGGTGGGAGCCAGACTTGGGGAGCCCTGGGAGGGCAGCGGGATACCCGGGCAGGCTGCCAGGTGGGGGCGGGCTGGTGGAGGTGGGGTGTTGGGTGATCCCCTCGGTGACCTGTACTGCTCGGTTGCAGGAGTCCATTTCCCATTCCTTAGTCTTGGGTCTACTCTGCCACTCACCCTGGCTTGCTCCTAGGCGACGTGGGCTTCCTCGCTGAGGACCGGCGGATCAACGTTGCGGTCACCCGTGCTCGGCGCCACGTGGCGGTTGTGTGCGATTCTCGCACCGTCAGCAACCACACCTTCCTGAAGACCCTGCTGGGGCACTTCATGGAGCACGGGGAGGTGCGCACGGCCTTTGAGTATCTTGACGACATTGTCCCTGAAAACTACTCCCACGAGAGTTCCCAGGGCCACAGCCAAGCTGGGGCAAAGCCCCACGGCTCCGCGGTGTCAGCCAGGAAGCCTCCTGGAGGCCGGCCGCGGGACAGGACCCGGGAGACAAGAGCAGCCACGGGGCTGGAGTGGAAGAGGACGGGTGGGAGACCCTCCGGCCCTGAGGTCCCTTCTCAGCCCAGCCTCAATGGAGGCAGCCTAGAGGGACCGGCGACCAGAGACCGTGCAGAGCATTTCCGGGCCAAGATCGCCGAGTTTGTGGCGAGCGAGAAAACTCAACTGGAGTTTCCTGCTTCCCTGAACTCCCACGACCGGATGTGGGTCCACCAAATAGCTGAAGAGCACGGCCTGAGACACGATAGCTCCGGGCAAGGGAAGAAGAGGTTCATCACCGTAAGCAAGAGCGCCTGGCCAGCCCCGCCAGCCCCGCCAGTCCCACCGCCTCCAGCAGGGGCCAGCAGCCATACCCCTGCGGGTCCTACGGCCCCCGGCCCCACCCAGACCGAGCCCCCTGCTGGGGGGCAGAGCAGCCAGGACACCCTGAATCTGAAGGCCCTGCACCTGGAAAGGCTGCAGAGAGCAAAGAGCAAACAGGAGCCGCCCACCACGGACGGGGCCGCCACGGATGGGGCCACCAAGGACAGGGCCGCCAGGGACGGGGCCGGCACGGATGGGCAGCAAGCCTCGCGCTCTGGGCTGCGCATGTTACCAGAGAAGAAGAAGAAGAAAGAAGCAAAAGGTAAGTGGGTTCACCTGATGGGAGTGGTGCCAGCTTGGCGTCCCCTTCGCTGTGGTGTTTCCCCACTTGAAGCCCGCTGTCACCCTCGGAGAGGTTTGGGACTTCCCCTGGGTGCTAAGGCCCTGATTGTGCATCGTGTTACTTGTTTTTAACTGGTTTGATGTGAGCTCTCTGGGGGCAGTGATAGGTTACGGTGACCATCGCGTCCCCAGATCCTCAGGCAGGGCCTGGCCTCCTCGTTAATCAAGAAAACACCTCAACACGAGGACGCTTCTCACGATGGGAACCGCACTAGGGAGCTGACAGTGTGTTCGGGTGAATCCCGGCGTGTTCACGGGTCACAGCGTTAGGGGACCTCAGCGTTCCTGACCAAGTACACAGAAATGCAGGAGGGCCTCGGGGTGCCTACACTGCGGGGGAAGAGCCTGGAGGAGGAGATGAGGACAGTGGACAGGAGCTCTCAGGCAGTCAGAATCCGTGCTGGGTGACAGCTTTGTTCTGCCGGACCCGATCGGGCTCTCGCACGTCCCGCTGGCCTGAGTCTCGGCCCTGCGTGCACTGTGGTGGCTGCGCACTGGCGTGTCCCCTGGGGCTCTGCTCCGCCGCCCCTGTGCCTCATTGTGATCGTGCATCCACGGGCACTGAGCTTGGAAGACCTGGGTTTTCTGAAGCCTCTCGGTAACTTTTACTCCAGCTGCTCCCCTCCGAGCACGACCGTGGAGCCGCTTGTGTCTTCTTTCTTCCACTGAATTCCTATGAGCAAAGCTGTACACACATGACTCTTGGTCTTGGAAAGCAGCCTCGGGCCTGAGGCTGTAGCCGATCCATTCTGTGGAGAGAGGAAAGAAATGTTGCGCAGAAGAAAAAAATGTTAAGTGCTTTTCTTTCTTTTTTTTAAAGATTTTGTTTATTTATTTGACAGAGAGGCACAGAGAGAGGGAACACAAGCAGGAGGAGGGAGAGGGAGAAGCAGGCTTCCCTCTGAGCAGGGAGCATGTTGTGGGCCTTGATCCCAGGACCCTGGGACCCTGACCTGAGCTGAAGGCAGACAGACGCTTAAGGACTGAGCCACTGAGGCGCCCGTTAAGTGGTTCGTGCCGTGAAGGGCAGGTGTGGGGACACCGTGATGGGGGTCCTGGTCTGCACTCTGTGACGTGTATGGCGTGCTCACTGGAGGACAGTGTCCTGGGGGGACTTTGCCCCGTTCAGGCGATGGTAGCTCCTCTTAGTTTTGAAGTGTTTCTTCAGGCTGTCACCTTCAGAATTCACCTTGCCCCTCAGGCTCAGAACGTGACCCTGTCCAGTTGGTCCCCAGGCTCTGCCGAGGTCATCGCAGCTGAGAAGCAGAGGCCGGTCTGAGCAGGCCCCTAGAGCCATGGCGGTGGCCCCCCGGGACGGGTGCCGCTGAACGTGCCGAGGGCTGCCTGCTGCTTGGGACGGTTGGGGGGTGACAGGCGCTCGGTCCCGTGGGAGAAGCGGTCGGAACACTGAGGTCTCATTCTGAGCACTGTGCCTGGTCCCTGCGTCTTCTCCGTTTCCTGAAGACTCCGGCGAGCAGTGGGCACCTCGTCAGCCCTTCTCCAAGCTTCCTGCCGCTGCTCCTGGGCCTCAGCATGTCTGTCTCGCCCCAGGCCCTCTGCTGACCGGCTGCTCGGCACATGTGAGGGGGTAGAGCCGGGCTCCGCAGCCTTTCTGGGGGAGGGGGCGCCTCCCCATTTGCTGGGGACTGTGGCAGAGTTTTTGCACCTGTATGGAGGGACCGGCGTGGCCATGGCCGGCGGAGGAGCTAGGGGGGCTGAGGTCCCCGTTTCCCCTGGGTCCCCTGCTCGGCCGACCGTCCTGACCTGCGTACCAGCTGAGTATGAAGAATTCACTCAGGGAAGCGTCTCGTCTGTGCTGTGCCCCCAGTCACTGGCGACGGCCTCCTGGCGGACGCCGTCCTACTGTTCCCCGGCCGTCCGTGCCTGTGTGTTCGGGTCGCGCACGTCTGTTTCACAGAGCTACACTTACACGCGGTCTCGGGTTCGTTTTCCACTTGTGAGCATTTTCTACTCACTTCAAAAGGTTTCTGTGCACTTGGTCAGGAACGCCGAGGTCCCCTACCGTGGGGACCCGCGAGCACGCCGGGATTCACCCGAACACGCTGTCGGCTCCCTGGTGCGGTTCCCATCGTGAGGAGCGTCCTCGTGCTTAGTTTTCTTGATTAAAGAGGATGGGCTTTTCGGGGGCACGTTCCATGCCATCCCCTTCTAGGAAGAACGCATGCTGCCCGCACCTCCTGGCAGGGGCCGGTTATTAGCCCACTGAAGGAGGGCCGCTCTTGGCTGGACGGACACCAGGATTGACTGAGGGCCATGGGCTGATCACTGTGAACCGAGAGTGGGAGCTGCTCGCGGCAGCTCGGGGCAGCCGTGGGTCCGACGTCCATGTTCTTCCTGTTTGAGTGACCCTTTTCTTCCCTAGGAAACACGGCCATGGATTTGCCTGGCAAGGAGGACTTCGAGGCCCTGGTCGCGGCTGCCATCAAGGCTGATAACACCTGTGGCCTCGCTAAGTGCACAGCCAGCGTGGCAACCCTGGGCCAGCTCTGTCTGCACTGCGGCCGCCGGTTCTGCCTCAGCCACCACCTGCCCGAGGTACGTTGGCAGGGCGGGCGGCAGGGCGGGCGGTAGGGCGGCTGTGTCTCCAGGGCTCTGGGCAGACGTGCTCCACGCACAGATGGGAGCTGGGGGTGAGCGCTGGGTTTTTCTGAATGGGTGTAGACCCGTGCTTTGTTTTGAATGCATCAGGGTATGAGAAAGTAAAATGTCACACTGGCCAAATTGTGAGAAAATTGGTGGGAATTCTGGACAGAGAGGACTTCGTTCCAGTGTCTTTGGGGTCCGTCAGTGGGTTAGGCTAGGGGAGGTGAAGTGTCTGGCTTTGGGTCTGAAATGGGCTGGCTGCCCGGCTGCTTTTTCACTCATTTCTTGAGCTTGTTTGGATGGGAATGTCCTCTGCCAGGCCTGGGGAGCTGGGAGCCAGAGCAGGCTTCATCTCTGCCCTGAGGGGTGAGGACCTGTAGGCACCTGGTGTGAGACCACATCCAGGGCCACGTGCCGACCGTGGTGAGGGAGGATCCCGGGCCAAGCTGGCAGCGGGGGCGCGGGCTGGGCTGGGGAGGACACGTGTGAAGGCCCCAGGGAGGGGGTGCCCTTGTCCAGCTGGGAGCAGAGCGGGAGGCAGGGTGACGGAGTGGAGGCCGAGAAGCCTCTGCTCCAAGTAGCTGAGCCCTGGTTCTGGAAGCTGGGGGTTACTGGAGCACCACCGTGTTGCCAGAGCGCTGGCTGTAGCACCGGGGAGGCTCAGGGCAAGGCTGGGACGTCCTGGGGTGAGTCATGGAGAGCGTGGGGAAGTGGGCTTGGGCCCTGAATGGGTTGTGGGTCACGATAGCACAGGAAGGAGGACCCAGAGGGACCATTGGGTTTCTGCTTCGGGCCGATGGGAGGTGGCGGTGGGGCTCTTGGAGGCTGGTGAGGGGTGAGTATGGGGAGGGCATGTGGCACCTGGGCTGGCACCATCCCAGATGAGCTGCGTGGAGGTCCGGGTGGTGTCCCACTCTGGGTCAGGGGGTGCAGCTGCCTACCCACAGGGAGCTCTGCTGCCTTGGAACCTAGACAGGGTGTCCCCCTGGGGCAGGGTCTCCTTCCCCTCCTCCTCCCCCTTTCCCGCCCACACACACTTTCTTCTCCTCACACATGTGCACGAGTGCACGGTCTGTATTTGTGCCTGTTGAAAAGCATGTGGTGTTTTAGGAATCTGTTTATCTAGAATGTTTAGAGATTGTCAAGTGTGAGGTTTGGTTGACCAGCTCGCATTACTGGCACAGCCGGTGCGGGTCTCTGTGCGGCAGCCCCGGGCAGCTCCCGCTCCCGACCCGAGAGCACGCCCTCCCCGTGCGGCTGGTGGCAGTGTCGAGGAGAGCACTGGCACCGTGTCCCGTCTGACGAGATGCTGGCTGCGGGCAGGGCAACAAGTCCCCCTGCTCTGAGATGTTCTGTGGGATGAGGCTGTGCAGAAATGGTGCAGGGCTGGGTGGCAGGGACTGGGCCGCAAGCACCTGCTTCCTCTGTGACGTGGGCGAGTGAACTCTGCCTCAGCCCGGGGCCGCTCTCCCCACACGTTCTGTGGGTGCCGTGCCTCAGTCTTTGCCCCCTGGCTGAGGTGCGGTGAGGAGTGGGGACACTGCCTGTGGGGTCCTGGGCCGTATGGAGGGCATGGGGCCACATGACTGTCTCTGGGAGAGCCGTGGTAGGCAGCCTGTGGGCCCAGGGCTGCCCAGGAGGGGTGGGGTGGGGACACCCCGTGAGTGGGGGAGGGAGGGGGACAGGTGCTGCGTGAGTGGCGGGCCACAGGGGTCTTAGCTGGGCACAGGGCTGGGGGCGCCAACAAGCGAGGTCCAAACTGGGTCCCACCCGGCAGTTCCCAGGGGACACCCTCGGTGTGTGCAGCGGGGAAGCACGGGCTTTCTAGGAGGCCCCGTGACCTGCGTGCTGGCTGTCATGCCTGGTGCTGGAGTGCTCGGAGGGTTTCCTCCCGTCTTCCTTCCTCTCCTTTCAAAAGGAGGAGCTATGTGAGAGTTTCCTGGAAATGGGGGCCCTTCGTGGGGTCAGGCACGTTCCAGGGCTCCCGCCCCAGGCATGGCGCCGGGGACACATGAAAGAGTGCAGCCTTTGGCCCGGAGGGGACGGCGGTTGCCCTTGGGTTGGAGCTCACGGAAGGGCAGCGTGGCGGCAGGGTCTCGCCGACAGCGCGTTGGCGTTCTGCTGTTGCGACACCGCTGCCGGTGGCCCGGTGTGCGTGTCACCCCCCGTCGGGAGCTTGTGGGGATCTGGCCGTGCGTCCGCGTGTGCTCAGAGGATGGTTCGGGCTGAGCTGGGGGCAGGGGTGGAGGGTGCTCCCTCATCCCCCCGCCCCCGCAGCCTGATGGGGAAGGGGCCCGGCTGCACGAAGAGGAGGGAGCCCCTCTGAGACCTTGTGCTGGGACGTAACGGTCCCCGGACGCTGCGATGGGCGACGTCGCAGGGCCTTCGTTCCCATCAGGCTCCGCGCTGACTGCTGTGTGTCCCCCCCAGATCCATGGCTGTGGGGAGAGGGCTCGTGCCCACGCCCGGCAGAGGATCAGCCGGGAGGGAGTCCTCTACGCCGGCAGTGGGACCAAGGACAGGCCCCTGGACCCCGCCAAGAGGGCCCAGCTGCAGAGGAGGCTGGACAAGAAGCTGGATGAGCTGAGCCGCCAGAGGAAGAGTAAACGGAAGGAGAAGGAGAAGTGACGGGCGGGCTCTTTGCGCAGCGCCAGAGCTGCTGTCTTTGGGAAATGTCTGCAGGGCAAGCAGGGCTGCTCTCTGCTTCCCTGTAGCTGCTCTGTGACAGTGTGCAACCTGACCCACCTGCCTGTACCGGAGCCAGGCGGGGCACTGTGTCCAGGAGCAAGGGTGGGGTTCTGGACTCTGGAGCTGAGCTCTTCCCCCCGACAGCTCTCGGAGGAGGGTGCCCAGGCCATGCGGTCATTGCCGCGTGGCCCTCGCTCTGGGATTGGTGTGGGTTGGCCCAGGTGTGCCCCCGCCCCCCTTCTCTTGCCTGGACCATTTCCTGGTCTCTTCCCAGTCAGAAAGAAATCCCACCGTCGGGATGCTGCCATGAGGGTCCCCCCGCCCCGACTGATACTCCCTCAATCGTCGTACAAGGAAATTCCCACCGTCCGGGGCTGGCCAGCTTTCAGGCTGCCGGAAGGAGGGAGTGCACCTGAGAAGTCAGATCACGCGTCTGAGAACGCCGGGCACCTCTCCCGTGCGCCCGCGTGTAGCTGACTTTGCTGAGGCCCGTTTCCGTCTGTGTCCTGTTCCCTGCCGGCTGTGGGGCCCTGTCCTGGTTGTGCAGGGCAGCGGACACAGCTCAGACAGCTCCTGCGAGGTCTGGAGGTCCCACTGAGGCATGTGGCCCAGGTGAGCCCCCCGCGGGTGGCTGTCGCGGGAAGGCGCTTCCGCAGAGCGGCGGTGCGGCCGACAGGAAGCAGGAGCCCTCCCACAGGTGCTCCCCAGTGTTCTCCACCAGCTGCTCCAGGGAGGACGGCCTCAGACGGATGTGACGTCTTAGTCTCAGAGTTGTACTTGTGTAAGTGGGACATAAATTATTTAAGAATAAAATAAAGATCTATGCACACCGCCTGCCGTTTGTGTCCTGTGTCTGTGCTGAACGCGCTTTCCCCTCTCTGCTCCCCGTGCCTTTCCCGGAGTGGCCCGGAGCTCAGGGCCAGCCCACGTTTGCTCCGAGTGCTCGGCATCTGGAAGGCGCTGGCAGCACCCGGAGCAAGGAGGTGGCCATGCCGGGCTCCTGTGGGGGCCTTGTCCCCGTTCACAGACGACAAAGGGGAGGTCAGAAACCCTTGGCATTTTTATCAGAACGGAAGTTTGAAGTCGGGAAGGCTGGAGTTTTAACTGGTCCAAACCAGGCCAGCCTCTGTGGAGAGATGGCAGGAGAGAGATGCCGCCCCAGGGAGGAAAGGCAGGTGGCAGAGACGGTGCCTTCCTGGGGGCTCAGAACCCAGGGTTAACCCGCCTGCCCTCACCAGACCTGGTCTCACAGAACTTGCATCTGCTGACCCAAAATGCCATTCGTGTCCCTGTGACCTCAGCCTCCCTAACCAAGTGTTCAAGATGTCTGTGTTGTTCTGGGCGCCTGGGTGGCTCAGTCAGTTAGGTGTCTGCCTTCAGCTCAGGTCATGATCCGGGGTCCTGGGATCAAGCCCCGCATCGGGCTCCTGCTCAGCAGGGAGCCTGCTTCTCTTTCTGCCTCCCCCCATCACTTGTTCACGAGTGCTCTCCCTCCCTCTCTCTCTCTCTGTCTGTTTCTCTGACAAATAAAATCCTTAAAAAAGAAAAAAGATGTCTTTGTTGTTCTTAGGAGCCTTCTCTGTTTTGTCCTGCCACTGGTCCCCAAGTGCCCTTTATTCAGCTCGTTTATTGACTGTGACTTTGGCCCCAGGCCCATGCACTCGGACTGTCTGCTTTCGCAGGTGCTGGGCTACCCTCTTCCAGGGCCAGCCCGTTCCCCTGCTTAGGGCAGACACCCTCTCTCCCTGCCCAGGGTGGACCGTGGCCGCCCCCCATCTCCTCATGTAGACGCCTTCCTTGCTTCTGTCAGCTGGCTTTAGGACTGAATTGTGCAGGAAGGGGAAGCAGTGGGGACCCCATGGCAGTGTGTGTGTGTGTGTGTGTGTGTGTGTGTTTGCCAAACAGTCCTCTGCGTGGTTTGTGTCAGCACAGGGTGCCTCCGCCTGCAGGAGCCCCGTGGAGCGTCGCAGATGGCTAGCTGAAGTTCTCGCTGCCCCCAGCAGCCAGTGGCTGGTGGGAAACAAACAAGATTTCGAGGAAGTGAGATCTGTGCACACAGAGCAGTGTTTCACTGTCCTCGAGGGACACAGTGGCACCTGTCTCACGTGCTGAGGATGCTTGCTTTTTCTCCCTGTCTTTGTGGTAATAATCTCTGATCCTCTGGCCACAGCAAGGCCTGGTTCAGGGACGGGCCAGAGTCCAAACAGGGCCCATCAGGGTTCTAGCCTGGGGTCCACATGTGGATGCTGAAATAAAGATGTTGGCTCTTTTTCCTGAGAGTGGCTGGCAGAGAGGAAGCCCGTCTATAGGCGGGAAGGAGGCCAACACAGAAACAGGTAAACAGGGGTAGGAAACTAACACAATCACGTGGTTTGAGCACCTGGATCCAGCCACACCTGACCTCCACCCCATTCTTCCCAGTGTCCTGAACTAGTGTCTTTTTAGCTGAAGAAGGTCTGCCTTAGGTTTCTGTTACTTGCAGCTAGCATGATCTTTGCTGGTCCAGTCATGCGTTTGTCTGTACTTCTTACCGGGCATACTCAGTCCCAGCATGGAGGCATTATCGAATCAGGACACCTCTGCTCTAGAGAGGATGCGGTCCTCCCCCTTTAGCCACGTGCTCTTCCCAGGGGCCACCTTGCCAGGAAGAGCTCGAAGTAGAGGAAGGAAGGCAATACAGCATGGGCTGGGGGTGGGAGGCCTCTGGAATCAGAAGACCCTGGGTGGGCTTCCGCAAGTGCCCACCTCCCTGAGCTCCTCTGCTCATCAGTGATGGGGTTGACAACAGTCTTCACCTCTAGCCAGGCCAAGACATCCACAGAAAGATCTGTGGGCAGCGTCGTGTGTCCTAAGCCCTAGGTCTGGGTTAGGCTCTGTGGCAGTGCCGGGCACGGGGTTTGCTGTGGCTGCCACGCCCACCTGCCCCTTGCAGGAGCCTTTGCCCTCCCCCGCCAACCTCCATTCAGGCTGGTTTTGACGCATTGTTAAAATGTCAGAGTTGACCGTTGCAACACAAAAAGTTCCCGTTTCTCATCCCAGGGAGACCTTGTTAGGATGATGTTTGTAGCTGGTTGCTTGAAGAATGTTCTACATTTGGCCCGGACAGGGTAGCCCAAAAAAAGGGGAAAAAAAACAGTGCCAAGCCAAACATCTTCCCAGGCAGTGAGGGTGGTCTTGCTGGTAACCTGCGGGCCACAGCCCTTCTGGAGGAGCCGCCCAGCGCTGAGAATTCCCTTCCGGGTGGGCACTGAGCAGGGAGCCCTGTCTCTCCTTTTGGGGTTAGGGGTCAACATGGCACAGGATGGAACCCCAGCGTGGACCAGGTGAGTCTGGGGCTTCACTCAAGATTCACCCCCTATGGGCTGTGTGGCTCCTGCCTCTGTTTCCCCATCTGTAAAGTGGGTGAATAACAGGACCTGGCCCCCCCCCCGACTTGCTGTGCAGGTGAAAGGCTTTAAGGTCCCAGGGCCCCCAAAACTGCCTGGCACGTGCGTCCTCAGGGAATGTCTGCAAAGCTGCAGACGCCCGGAGGGGCAGGTGCCTTGGGAGGGTTTGACCCACAGCCTTGCCCACTCGGGGCCCTGGGGACGGCGCCCGGGGCCCCAGGAGCCGGTCAGCCCTGCGTGGGCACACCTGGCTTCCCTGGGGACAACGGGGCTCACCCTCACCCCCTGCTGGTGGGCCAAGGACGGGGCCAGACCCGCTCTGTGTTTACTCGGGTTGTTTGGACCGTTACCCGAGGGACCGGCGGGCTGACAGGCACTGTGCTGCTTGGGGACGTTTGAGGCCCGAGTTATAACCTGGCACTTAAAGGGAGCTGTGGCGTGTGCTGGGAGCATTGCAAAAGCTGCAGCCTTATTTGGTCTGGAAACTTCTCCGCTTGGAGGAAAAGGGGGACGAGGAGGCAGACGGCTCATCTGGGCGGGCGGATCTGTGACTGCCGGGACACCGTGTCCAGCGTGAGGATTGTTTTGCTCCCTTGTCCTGCGTGCGGCTGCCTGGCTGCTCGTCTCTCAGCCCTGCCCTCACGGCCGGTGTGCCGCCGTCGCCAGATAATAAAGCCACCCCTGCAAGCCTGCGGCTCAGTGGGCAGCGGGGGACGCAGACGGCTCCCTGCTCAGTGGGGAGTCTGTTTCTCCCCCCCTCCGCCCCCCAACTTGTACCATCTCAAAAAACTTTGTCCTTTATTCTGTTAATATGGCCTCTAGTACATTAATTGATTTTCTTTAAAAGACTTTATTTATTTTTTTATTTATTGGGAGAAGCAGACTCCCTGCTGAGCAGAGAGCCCGATGCGGGGCTCGATCCCATGACCCTGGAATCATGACCTGAGCTGAAGGCAGAGGCTTTAACCACTGAGCCACCCAGGTGGCCCGCATTAATTGATTTTTGAATGTTAAACCAAGCTCGAACTCCTGGATAAATCCCACTTGGTCATGGTGTTTAATTTAAGTACATGTGGCTGATAGGCTATGTGGTCGGGCATATTTGGAAACCGTCGTTTTGGGGTCTGCTCCGAATCGGAAGTGACTCTCCTTCTGTGGGACAGCCGCGCTTGGGTTCTTACCGTCAAATGAGACAGGGATTCTAGGACTTCGAGAAACAGACCCCGAAGGGTTTCTCGTGCCCCTTGTTCCCCACTGAGCGCAGTGCCCAGACCGTCCTCCGTGGGAACGCACGCGTGTTCGCCCTCGCCCCGAGCACGCACCTTCCGCGTCCGACCCCCGCGTCCGGCTGTGCAGGGGGGGGCTTTGGGGCCGAGTTGGGGCTGCTGTTCTCCATCGAGTCGTGCCCTCAGGCTGCAGCCACTCAGAGGAAGGGATCCCAGCTTCCAGCTTGCTCAGCACCGCTGCGGGGGCTGCTGGCGGCCCTGGCTGTGGGCTGGGAGGGGGTGCGAGAGGCAGATCGCACAGCCCACCCCGTGCAGGTAGTTTCTGCTC